CGAGCTATAAAAATAAATACATACATGCATAAATAAATAAACAAACAAACAAACGCCGCTGTGGCGACCCAGCCGGATGAGACTGGAACCAGGATGGACGCAGGGCTTGAGGCGGTCATGCGGTGACAGACTCTCTGTCCACCTCTGTGTGAATGACGAGGTTGCTCGTCCTGTGCAGGGTCTGTCACCGTCCCGAGCTGCTTCGATATGAAAGGGCTCTGGTGGTTAAGCCTGAGGGTGAAAACTTGGACGTGGCCCAGACACATCACCAAAATAGCTCTTGCAAAAGGGAAAAGTCAACACTGCGGTGGACTGGTCTCAAAAGAAGAAAAATGTTCTCAGTCCCGGTAAGGCAGCGCTTGCTTGGGAGTTGTTAAATCCCTTGCTTTAAGTGTATTTTTAATCATACTCTACTTTTTGGAAACATCTGTTTTATAGGGGGATCCCTGGTTTTCTTAACCAACAACCATAGAATAGCAGCACCTCCAGCTCAATCTAGAGCAGGGCGAAAGGAACATGGAGTCAGCTCCAATCCGCATTCAACTTCACTGGGTTCAACTGCTGCATCTAGACAGGCTGTGAAGTCCCTTCTGGCTCTAAAACTTGGTCTCTGTAACAGCATCCATCAAAGTGCCAGGTTAGGGGCCCAGCATCCTTTCAGAGACTGCTCCGAGTCCAGATCTACATCACAGAAGGCAGACTGTGCTGCGGAGGTTAACTATGGATTGGGGTACACTTGCACCTCCTCATTTAAGATAGTAAGGCACTAAGCTGAAAGTGTCTGGGGAGGATTACTCTCAAAAATCAAAATATAGCTCTAGCTGGTGTGGCTCAGTGGATAGAGTGTCGGCCTGTGGACTGAAGGGTCCTGGGTTCGATTCCGGTCTAGGGCACATGCCTGGGTTGTGGGCTTGATCCCCAGTAGGGGGCGTGCAGAAGGCAGCAGATCAATGATTCTTTCTCATCATTGATGTTTCTATCTCTCTCTCCCTCTCCCTTCCTCTCTGAAATCAATAAAAACAAACAAACAAAATATAAGGTATTAGGGAAAACCTTTTGGTTTAATACAAAGATCTACTTCCTAAAGAAACTAGAGCCATTAGTTGGTTATTTCGAAGTTGTCTTGTTGTTCTTCTTAAAAAAGATATACATATTAACTGATGTCACCCCAATAAATTTAACTTAAAAATAAAATAAAAAGAGATACAAATTTTACCTGGAGGACCTCTCCCAGCACCACCAATAGATATTTAATCACTTAGTATGAAAAATGCATGAGAAGGATGACAGCTAGCAATCCTGGGCCATTTGGGGGAAAACGCAATCAGCAAATCCCATCCACACTGTCTCTTGTCAGAGGGAGAGAAGACAAACCCCAACCTGTTTACATGTCTACCCCAGACTTGGGTAGCTGCACCACTGAGGTAGTGTGGAAGAGACGTCACGTCCCAGTGCCACCCCTCGTGCTTCCCATGACAGAAATGTGCCTCCTACCAACAGAGGGGGTTTACTTTCAAACCTCTGCGTACGATAAAGGCCCACCCGTCATCCCCGAAGTATGTACACTCCGACATTTTCACAGTCGTGGAGAAGGGTTTACATAAGTCATACACAGCGTCCCTTACCCTGGCTCCTCTTGGGCCAGAGCAAACCTGACTGGCCTTCAGCACGCTGAGGCCACAGCCTTCCATGGACTTAGCCGGACACAGACCCCTTCAATACTCCTGGCGGCCAGACAAAGGAAATGACAGCCTGCACCCCGTGTGCGAGGGAAACGGGAAGAAGAGCCGTCCAAATCAAACAGCATAAATGCACATTCTCTCAAGGCAGCTCGCCCAGTTTCTCTTCCAGTGTCCTAGGTTATTGCTGTTGCTGTTAATTGTTTTTGCTTTGCTGCTTAAATTTTAGGTGCAAGTGTGTAATAGACGAGAGTCTTGAAAATACTAGTAGAGATCTCCATCAAACCACACTAGTGAATACAATAGATGACCCACATGTGTGTCGCAGCAAAGATTCATATAAAAAGTTCCCTTGCAATTGGTAGGGCTCTATGGAACTCACCACCGTGCTTTGCGTGTATGAAAGGAACTCTGGCCTGGCAGCATTAAGACCTCTGGAGACCCTAAGAAAGGAAGAGATAGATTCCCTAATATGCACCTATTGCTATCGGATTCTAGGGATGTCGAAAGTGAAGTTGCTGATGTCTAGATATTTTAACTGGCAAAATTCTAGATAAAGTCATCAGAGCAGGGCTTTTCTCACTCCTCAGTGCCTCTGTGTTAATGCACATGCGCTGCAACTGCTTACCAGACAATCAGCTGATGTTGGGTGGTCAGTGTGGCCCTCTGCCTCCAAGTGTGAGATTAAAATTCATAACTTTGTGAAACTGCAAAAGACTATGAGCATTTAATAAACTTCTCCAAAGAGAGGATATTCATGTGTTTTGTAGTAACTTAAAGACCTTTTTTTAAAAAAATATATTTTATTGATTTTTCACAGAGAGGAAAGGAGAGGGATAGAGAGTTAGAAACATCAATCAGCTGCCTCCTGTACACCTCCCACCGGGGATGTGACCACAACCAAAGTACATGCCCCTTGGCCGGAATCGAACCCGGGACGCCTCAGTCCGCAGGCCGACGCTCCATTCACTGAGCCAAACCGGTCAGGGCTTAAAGACCTTTTGATCGATGTTTCTCTCCCGACTTCTCCCTTCCATTCTCTCTAAAAAATCAATTTTAAAAATATTTTAAAAAAATATCTTGCCCTAGCTGGTTTGGCTCAGTGGATAGAGCGTCAGAACTGTGGACTGAAGAGTCCCAGGTTCGATTCCGGTCAAGGGCACATGACCAGGTTGCAGGCTCGATCCCCAGTAGGGGGCGTGCAGGAGGCGGCCGATCAATGATCCTCTCTCATCAGAGATTGATGTTTCTATCTCTCTTTTCTTCTCTCTTCCTCTCTGAAATCAATAAATATATTTAAAAATATATATATCTTAAAGGCCTTTGGTTGTGATTACTCAGGCCTCGCAGCTACATTCTGAAAGACTGAACCCTAATCAGCCAGAGTGTCATTTTATGTAAATGAGGCTCCTTTTACATTTTTTTTTTGGTTTTGAGTAATACCAAAAAGGATTTATAGTCAAATTTTCTGCATCTAGTAAAGCAAGTATGTCTTAATTCCTGCTTTGACAAGGAAGGAAGGAAGGAAGGAAGGAAGGAAGGAAGGGAGGAAGGAAGGAAGGAAGGAAAGGAAGGAAGGAAAAAAAGAAAGGAAGGAAGGAAAAAAAGAAAGGAAGGAAGAAAGAAAGAAACTGCCCCAATTTCAAGGCCATGATCAGTGGACTCCAGGATTGCTCAGTGTGAAGACAACAGGACGTTGGCCACAAAACCTTATGAAGAACAATCAGGACGGTTCGCTTTCTCATGTGTGAATGCTTCCCTAGTCAAGGCATCACCCAGCGCACTTTCATTCTGCTGTTGCTGAACCCAATCCGGGCTCTGGCCCAGGGACTGATGTTTTAAAATTTAGAGGCCGGAAGACATTTTACCAATGAGTTAGAACAACTTAGTAAAGTTACCCTCAAACACCTAGAGTAGAGGAAGTACAGACACAACATCTAGCAATGGAGATCTTTTGGAAACTTGACATTCTTCTTACTTCCTGAATAATTACTTCACACTTAGAGACTAATTATCAGAAACCTCCTTCTGGCTTGCTCCTTCCAAGCCAGCATGCAGTACTGGCCAACACAGGACAATCAGACACAGCCAGTGATCGCCTTCTGAGAGTGGGTCTTGTCTTATTATAGGTTTCATCCTACAGTAGAGCTTTCAAAATTCCTCGCCCTATGGTAAAGTTTGTCTCTGTGCTCATCTAACAAGTACATTATTTTGAGCTGACGAAGTGTCATGAGCTGACCCAGGCACAGGGAGACATCAGTGCACATGGGGCCAGGTTCCGGCTCTCACAGACCTGACGTTGTAGTTCAGAGGAGACTCATATAACCCAAGTCAACTGAGAACTGGCCACATCTCACCAGGGAGGGTGTCTTCTTTCACAGCTCCTCTTATTCAAAGAGGCCATTGGGGAAGAAAATTAAAACCATTTCTATTACATGGAAACCTTCCGCAATTCCAGTGTCCTAAAACATACAGTAAAGTGTGTCTTCCTCCTTTTCTATAGAAAATGGACATATCTCTTAGCAGATGACAAGGGTGAACATTTCGAAGCATGAATAGAAACGAGGAGACACGCTCTCATACACGTGGGTTTCCGTATGGTAGACTCATCCTACTCTGAAAACTGCATAACAATTCTGCCCCAGTGTATAAAAATGTGTTGGTTGACATGACCTAACGGATCAAATGGTCTAAGTCTTAAAAGTAACATTATTCACTAAAAAATGGTCTGAATGTTCAAGCAACAAAAGTTAATGATCTCTCCTAGCTCCATATGGCAAATTATTTTACACACTGTCTCCTAAATGTTCCAGCTGCATGGAATAACAGCTAATACACTTAGTGAAAACACCATCTTAAATGACTGTAATATTGAGCCTAAGGGTCTAATTATTTTTTGAAGCTGTTCATTTTTTTAGCACGTGAATAATTCTAAACCAGCGGTTCTCAACCTGTGGGTCACGACCCCTTTGGGGATCGAACGACCCTTTCACAAGGGTTGCCTAAGACCATCGGAAAACACATATATAATTACATATTGTATTTGTGATTAATCACTATGCTTCATGTTCAATTTGTAACAATGAAACTACATCCTGCATATCAGATATTTACATTACGATTCATAACAGTAGCAAAATTACAGTTATGAAGTAGCAAATAAATAATTTTATGGTTGGGGGTCACCACAACATGAGGAACTGTATTAAAGGGTTGCGGCATTAGGAAGGTTGAGAACCACTGTTCTGAACAATTTCTGAACCTGTAAGATGATTTCATCTTCCTCCATGAGGAAGTTATCAATAGACTTATAGTCATCTCTAACCTTGTCCTATCATCACACACTGTATTTTTATTTAACACAGTTCTACATCAACATCTGTCACCATAAATAATACTTTCCAGGTGCAAATTTAATTCCACAGTCAAGGAAAGAAATTAACGTATTTAACATATTTATTCTCCCGTCCTCCTGCGGCCTTCTAAGAGGACAGTTATCTAAAAACGAGAGTGTGGTGCTCTGGGATGCCATACTTCCCTTTGTGCTCCTCAAATAACTTCCTGAGCTCCTCCATGTAGGTCTGATGCAGCTCCTCGACCTGCTCCCGGGTTGGGTTCAGAGTCCGATGAACAGGGATTGGATGGCCAACTGCAAAAACAGAGAATACCTCAGACGTAAGAAACCAAAACCACTCCACCCCAGGCCACTGCCTCAATGAACACCCTGGAGAGATCTTCCAATCAGAACCCATCAGCCCCACGAGCTCCAAGCCCTCTCTCATTTTACTGGCTGCCCACAGTGGTCACCCCATCCCATTCAACAACAATTAAAGAACTTCCCTTCCCGGCAGACACTGGATTGTCAGTCCCCTGGTGGTTCAGACTTTGAGTCAAGTGAGCCACTGTGCTGCCCGCAGCTGTGAGGGAAG